CATTCAGTTTGGGGTTCATCAGCTCACACAGCGCCCTCCCTTAAGTATAGAGGGCATCTATGAAACTGTGGGCCCACCTATAGAGCTGGGCATTGCAGCTTTTGGGCCCCTTGCTTGCGCCCTCGCGGTGATGAGGATGCTGCCAAAATCTCCCCAGCAGTCCAAGGTGAACTATACCTTGCTGGTGGACCGCGGGGTTTAGCTGCGGTTAAGAAATGCAAGTAGTTCACCCCAGGGAACATCGGGACTGAAAAGTCTGCAGGCTCCATGGAGCCTGCTGGTTCTTGGGCATCCTCCTCCTGGTCCTGGTGCTCAACAGGCTCCTTAGACACTGTCTGAACCCACTGGTCGACTCTGATTGGGATTGGGAAAGCTCTGCAGCCCCTTGGGACAAGGGTGGGGGTGGGGTTCCTTCACAGTGTAACCCGGGCTACATTGTGAAGGAACACAATGTTCTTTTAATGGGAGAACAATACTGGGAACATAACCAGTATAAACCAGGGGGTATAGGAGACACTACAATGCCCTGAGGGGTTAGGATTCAACAAAGGTTAGACACAATCATAGACATACTCATCCAGTTGACAAAAGACAGGGTTAACCAAAATGTAAAACACAAACAGCAGAACAAACAATACTGGTTGGTGAAATATAAAAAGCACAAAATACAAAATGTCAAATGACAACAAATACAGGACCTAGGTACCTGGAGGGGGAAAACACAATGGTCCCTTTCCACTGCAAGAAGACTCTCTTCTTGTTAGTTCACTCACCCAAGCTAGAATTTGAACTTGGATCTCCTACATAGTAGGCAGAAACTCTACCACACAGCCACCAGTGCTGGCACTGGTCTAGGCTGCTAGGGGTCTTGACCACCCCAGAGCCCTGCCCTGATGTGGAGCTGCCTGGCCTTTTATTGGAGGAACTGGTAGCAGAGCTGGGAGCCTCTCAGGTAGCTGCTCAGATCCTTGCTGGAGCTGGGGAGCCTCTCCTGCTGGCCACAGCCTCTCATAGGGGATCCTGGAGCCCAGCAGGGAGCCTCTCCTGTCGGCCACATGCTGCGCTGCTGAGGGTCCAACTGCTTCTTGCAGGTCCCACTCCTTCAGGCTCTTCTGGGGCAACCGCTCCCGCCCCACTCGCCCAGCTCTTTGCCAGCTCTTTGAAGCTCCTTCCTTGTGGTCCCTCACTGGTCTCTCCTGAGTCAGCTGCGCTGACCCTTTTATCCCCCTTCAGGTGACCCAAGGGCCCAATTGGGACATGGAGGGTGAGTCTCTGGGACCTGATTGGTGAGGAAAGGGAATCCCAAGTCCTCCAATCATCTTTTGCCCTTTTAAAACCCCTGGGCTAAGTCACTGCCAGCCAG